AATGTGTGCCAAAAATAACACTGGCCCATTACAGCGTCCTGTTCAGTTCCGCAGCACCACCGAACACCTTCAAATCAGACTAACCCTATTTGAACTGCAGGAGTTTGATCCACTTGACCAGGTGTTTGAAGGCAAATTTGATTTAACACTGCTTGAGAGGGAAATGAAGAAGACTCAATGATTTGGATATTTCTTGAAGTGGTAGTTGTTCCAAAGGTACCCACTGGGTTCTTGCCAACTCCCAGCAATTGTGATAGCATCATGTCAGTATTTGTGATGCTTTGAAGGTGTTTGATGAGGCGTGCCAGGTTAAGGGCCCCTTGAAAGCCACATCTTTACCCAACCGTCGATTTTGTAAGCAAGATTGGGGTGTGTGTTAGATGGTCAGCATGGGGATAACCATTTCTAATTTACGACACTAAATGGATCAAGACCATTCCACTTTGAGTAGGCAGATAACTTCTTTAGATCTGTGGATCTGAGGATATTGAAATAAGCACGGATAACTGCATTGTCTACAAATTCCTCCGAAGCACGTGGGATACTGACATGACAATTGCTTTGCAGACTGCCCCATCCACGCATTCATTTAAGGCAATTTTCACATTCATTCTACAGGTGAGGCAGACAATGATATTAGAAGATTAAAAAGCCTTAGTTTTGTTTGGATTTCAGAGGGAATTGATAACGTTTGCATGTGTGGTGAGTGAGACGGCTGAAAGTTCAAATATTTGCCCAAATGTACCCCACATTATTGGGCTTGTTTCGAGATCATAGGCCGGGTAAGATTAGAGCAAGAAAAGAAATTCACTCACTTTTGTTGGGACAGATGCGTGAAGGTTGGTTTCTTCTAAGATGCTTGGGATTCTGCAGAAACCGTACCTTTTTCCTTCCTCCATGCCACAAGCATTTCATCACCACGACTGCTCCTAATGCTAAACATTCTGTGACGTTAAGGTTGTCCCCTCACGACTGATTGTAGCAGTTGACACTTTAGTTAGGTGGTGCCTGTTTTCTTCTGCCATCTCTTCTACCAAATTTCGCGCAAAACTGCTTAATTTTATCCAATGGAACACCGTGAACTCGTTACAAACATCAGTGTAGCAGTCTCAGCTCCTACGGTTTCAGTTGTTGCAGATAATGAACGTGGTACCAGTGTAGCTAAGAATGGGTGCGCCCCACGGAGACACAACACTGTCAGCGTCCTTCCATTGAGAAAGCCTCCTTTCAACAACGCGGTTGTCAGATCCACAAGGAGAAGAAGCCGGCAGTTTGTATCATCGTGGAAATGTGCGGTTGATGCGTTCTCTGCGCCCTCCTGTGCGAATTAACTGAGCATGCTTTGTTCAAGGAGGCGCCTGCATTTCCCTTCAAAGTTCCGAGCATGCATCCTAGTGCAGGCGAAGTAGAAGGGCAAACATTGTGGTCTTGTAGCACGTCCTGCAGCAGCGACTGCAGTAGCCTGAATGGTAGCACTGTGTGAAGTAGGCATGAGAGCCTACTAACACTCTGCAGTCATCGACAATAGCCCAGAAACCATGCAATGCATCTAGGCTATTAAACAATGAAAAAGACCTTTATAAAGAACAATTATGTGATTAGTATTAATGATCCGATGAATGCGTATTCAGGATAGTTGAAGAGTGAGACAGAGGAAGGACAAGCCGGCAATCAACTCCTCTCCATCCCGCCAGTGTTTTTAATGATGGAAAGTGAATTGTGGAGCATCGTCACTTTCTGCTGCTACAACGCGCAGGTTCTAGAATCAGGCAGATTAACAGTGTTGCAAGCAAGAAAATGCTTGAAGTGTCACATGCCAACTCGTAGAACTGGACCAACCACAAAATTCGAATCAGCCAAAAAATGCTTCATATGCCCTAGGATTTATGCTAGTCCGTGATTTTTGGTGAACGTAAACCTGACAAATGCAGTAGAGTTTGCACTGCACATCAAATCTGTGGTTGAGTTTGGAGGAGTGGATGCAATTCCACTCACCTGGGTCTATTCAGGTTAGCAGAGTTGGCATCAATGTTGGCACGCACCCCACCAGCATGAGACAGGACAGCAGAGGGTGGAATTAACTTACGTCTGGGGTGTGAGGAGCACTTTGCCTCGGAATGGCTTCTATCAAATAGGTTATCTGCACTACTGATGGAGTCGATACAGGCTTCATGTAATAGTCTAGCAATAATCGCTTCTCACCTATCTCAGTAGAGTTAACAACATCATTTGACACCATATTTTGTTCCTTTGATATCCCAAAAAGCCCCACATCACAACTGATTGACTGGATGGGTTGGTCAACACGCTTTCTAGTTAATCCTGCAAAAGGCGTGAGTTACACGCCCAACTTGTATGTGGAGATAAGATAATCATGTGGTACCTACTTACCCCATCAATTCACCCAAGATAAGTAGAAAGTCGTCCATCCAAAGACTACCAGACGATGTGTCTATGCGTGATGCGGGAATACAAATAGATGCAGCCCACTCAAACTAGCTTTCTAAGTGCTTTTATCGGCGAAGCATCGGCATCAATCGGTCAACTTCTCTCTTTCGAGTTTGACCAGTGAAAATGTGGGCTTTGAATGCTGCTTCATAGCGAGAGAGGTAAAGATTGCCAAAAGTGAATGTGATTGCATTAATTAGGGCAACACTTAATTTACTTTACTTCATTACGCATGACAACTTAATATATTTGATCCTTCCCTCCTGGCGGTTCACGTTTGTGTCCCCACCTGTGTGGTTTGTCCATTGGTAGAGAGACTGGGTGTCCAAGTTACCACCCCACACTCCTTAAAACCTATTGTGCATGTCGAAAGAAGAGATAGAAAAGAATAGTTCCTGCAATTAATTGCTTGTTACATATTTGGTGATGATAAATGGATTACTCAGTTATGATAACTGCGTTTATAACACAAGGACGCAATTCTCCCTAATGAAAGGGACATCGCAGAACAAGTTAAGGCTGGACGAATCACTTCGCGTCGTACGGGATGGAAGTTTCTACTTTGTATACTGACGGACCGCTGAAACTGGAATCTGTGATATGACTGTCTTCAAAGGAAGAAGGATTGTGAGCCGAACCCACACAGCTGTGGTCACTCACTTTAGCAGGGGCTACTGAAACACTGTGCTTCGTGTTGAGCTACCTAATCATCAAGGATTTGGTTAAGTCGGCTGTCAGAGATGATCGAACGTATGTATGGAGATTTGGTGTGTTTTTAGGAGAAGAAAGTGGTGGAATGCGAAAGAATTTTTGCCTTAGTAGTTGAAGCAGCAATTGGTTAGGAGTGGGCAAACGGGGAAATGCAATGGAGCTGACAACAAGGGATTTCCTTAATTCCCCACTGAAATGCCTCTCCAAAATGAATATCTACATAACCCCTGACTCTGTTAACAAAACCGAGGTGTGTGCTGGCTAGTAATAGTGGAGATCACCATTGCTTTTTCTTAATATTAGTGGGTTCAAACATCGTCCATCTCAAAACAGTAAAGCTTTCTGTCAAATTTGCAGAGGGAGGTGACGCAAACGTGGATGATTTAATGCCAATGGACTTCGTCCCACTTCCCCTGAAACGCGTTAGAAGGAGGCACGAAATTTGCGTTGAAGTGAGCCTTACGCACTCATCCAACCACACTTAAGTTTCCATCCGTTGTACTTGAGAGCCAGACATTCAGGCTGGAGGGTGAAATAGTCTCAGTTTTGCATAACTTGTAGAAGGCAGAACAGAACACGTTGATGTCTGTTCGTCTTGAAGTGGATGGGGCTGCTGGTTGTCCAAAAGTTTGCGTTAATTCAAGACCAATAGTAGTACAACAGAAAAGACAGAAATGAAGTGAGCATGACAAATGCAACATGTATGTTTTATTCTGGAAAAGTCAAAGTGGAAATGATTATGGGAATGAAGGTGGACTAACGCATTCCCTGGACTGAGCAGTAATGGAACAATTGCTTGTTTGCAGTGATTTGCCCAAATCT